TAGGCGGTGCATTCCTTGGGAGGGAGGGTGTGTGTGTGTCGGTGCCTTCCCACACTCGGGACAGCTCTTATTTAATGGGGGTCTCCATGCAGGGTAGATGCCAGAAGAGATTTCGCTGTTCCCAGCTCCCATCGAGGAACGGCAGCGGCTCCCCCCCCTTTTTTGGCCGAGATAACCCTGGAGGAGGCGGCTCCCAGGACCAGCCAAGCCTCCAGGATGCACCTCCGGGAGGATTTGAGGAAGATTCGGTGCGCGGTGCTGCTCTGCCTGCTCTCCGTGCTGGTCCTGGCGCTGCCCACTGCCTACCTGCTGGTTGGAAACCTCCAAGCCCCCAGCTCCTGCACCGGCCAGGTAAGAGCTGATTTCTGTCCTGCCACCCTGCAAGGAGGAGAACGGGGTGTTCTGCGCCGTCAGGGTTGGATTTGGTTAGTTCTTTTGTTTTCTTTACGAGTTTCTGATTTAAGGGAACTGTTACTCGCTGTTACATTCCTTCTTCCTTACGTAGAGCAAATCTGCCTGGGATAAATCTTATTTTTCATTTGGTCTTTTTCACTAACGGTTTCTGTTCCTCTTGTCTGAATTTCGCTAAGGTCGCAGTACAGCACAAAACTTTAAAACTTTTGTTGATATGCTGCAGGAAACGCTTAACAAAAATCACTAGTTGATGGAAATCAGTCTCTCTCCACTGATTTCAGCCAGATTTTGACACTATGGCTCATTTTTCTCCCTTCTTTTGGGTTGACTCTGAGACTTCCCCTCCCAGTGTCCTGTTCCAGCAAACATCTGCTGACAGCGCTGCTGGTGTCAGTGGGTCAGTGCCCATCATCCATCACTGGGCAGACAGCTACAGCTCTAGCATGTCATTAGTGCAAACTCCTGCAGAGATACAATTTGGGACAATTAAAGAGGCTGATCCTAAATTTTGCATCTCATTCTTTACTCACATCAAAAATTTCTCTAGATCCAGGGATCTGCTCAGCTCTTCTCCTTTGACAGCTAAAATCACTTTGCAATACAAGCTTGCTGGTGAGGCTGCTCTAACGCATTTCTGTGCCACCCAACTCCTTGTGCCAGCCTGCAAACAAGTGCCACTTTCCACCGTAGCCGATGAATTAAGCAGGACTGCCCCATGCTAGAAGAATGCATATATGCATTTAGGTCTGAAGAACTAAGGTTTTAATTTTAGCTTCAGGTCTGAAATTCCCCAACTAATTAGCCTGCTTGTTACACGCTCACTTAGGAACAGTGAAAGCAAGCAGTGGTAGCAAGTGGCCTCGAAGGCAGATTTCTAACCTCTAACCTCCAGATGCTTAGAGTGCATGACGGCTGTACCGCAGCTGTGCGCATGTGCGCTCGTGGCTGCACAGATGTGCTAGCCCGCATCTGACCTCACATCTGCACAGCCGCCGTCTTGCACCCAAGCGGTGCCAGCTTCTGGGGTGCAGCATCTTCTGCGTTTCTCTGGTTGTATCTTCATGCACAGCTGAAAGGAGATGGAGTGGCCCTACACAGTACCTCAGGCTGGCAAGTCTGACGATTGCTTGCACGTGTGAGAGTCCTATTACTGCGCTGACCCTGTTGCTGCTATTTAGTCCAGATAGAGCGGGTGCACGCGGAGGGAAGAGGCTCTTCGGACAGTCTCAGATGTTGTTGCTCTTTGCTCGTGTTCTGTAAGGTTGCACAGAGCAGAACAGTTCAGTTCTTGAAATGATCTTAGGGTGAAATAATAATAATAAAGTGTCAGCCTGCTTGATTGGACTGATGTGTTCCGGGCTCTGGTCCCTGTTGGCAGAGTTAGTGGAGAAAAGTATTTTTGTGAGTGGGTTTGGCTTCTTAAGAAGAAAAGCGCAATGCAAGCCATGAGATTTGCTCTCGCCTGTGCTACGCTAGTGTGTATTTCCATGCATACGAAATGAATTATTAGTGTGTCATATTCCCACCATGATGTAATGAGCTGATCAGATGAGTTACAACCTCTGAGAGCCCCAGTGAGGAAGAGAAAAACCATCGGGCTGGCCGCCTGCCCACTGCCGCTGCGGTGCCAAGCCCAGTGGGCGGAGCGCCCGGCTACAGTTCAGCCGGATCCTGCCTTTTCCGAATTATTCTTTCACTCTGCTGGGGACTGACTGTATCGCCAGTGCTGTCCAGTAACAGAGCGCAGATGGTTGGGTTTGTCTGTGGTGCTTTCCCCAAAGAGCCACATCACGGGCTGAGCTCAGGCGCTCAGTCCTGCAGCTCGGTACAGCTCTAGGATTTTTCAATCCATGGAAATATTCCTGGGCATAAGGGCTCCCAGGAAAATGGTTTTTTTTCCATTTCCTTCTGCATTTGAAGTGTTAGAACTGGTTTGCTGAAGGATGGCTTCCTCATGTGCCCTATTGATAGCCCAAGTGAGGAGGACTAGGCTGGGACCAGACATGTGCCAGAGCTCTCTGTGGTGCTGGTGTTGGGGTGCGGATGCCCTGGACATACTGGGAGCAAGTGGGCAGGCCCCAGTTTGCACCAGAGGCGTTTTCACTTGCTGACCCTTGCAGCAGCGAGCCCACGGAAGGAGTCCTCTCATTGCCCCGGGACCAGACCTCAGCCCACACACGGCAGATTATCGATTTCTCGTGCACTGGGGAGTGTAAATCCAGCCCTGGGAGGAGGGAGGGACCCGGCAGCTGAGCAGGTGAGAAGCAGACGTAGTAAATTCCTGAGTCCGTACTTCCTGGAGCAAGGAGGAGGAGAAGGGGAGGTGGGGAAGGTTTGTGCAAGAGGGGTGTGCCTCCTCGGTTTGCCGGCGGGGTGAGGCAGTTTATTCGTCTCTGCTTCTGTGTGGGTGCACACGGTATTCACCTTCTGCCTCTGAAGGGATACAAAGTCACCTTTTCCTCTGGAAATATCCCTTTCGGGGGAAAAGCAGGGCAAGTTACGTCATTACAGCAACTGGTGTGAGCCACCGGCTCTCTCTCTGTTGTGGTGTGATGTGTCTTGCATGAATAATTCAAGTCTGATGCTGGTTTCCCTGGACACCTTCCAGGGTCACTGCCCTACTTCCCTTTCGGAAATAGGAATCACTTTCTTTTGTGCTTCAAGACAGAGCGAGGAGAGAAAATAGGGTTCATTAAGCCGTAACACATGGCTTGTGTTATTAGCAGGAAATCTAGAAAGGGCTCTGGTGGAACCCTTCCAGACAAAGGGCAGGACTCCTGTGTATCCTACCCGAAAGGAAGCCAAGATTCAGTCTGAGTGCACAAATCTGCCAAGGGAAGGGCACAGCAGCCACCAGAGCATCTCTGGCTGCCCCAGCAACCCGCTCAGCTAGCCCGATGCAGCAGAGCATCAAGTCCTGCAGCCTGGAGATGTTGGTACTTGGGCTTATTCTCATGGCATCCTTGGAGTAGTAGGACCGTGAGCAGCACAAAGGGAGATTCCAAAACCTGTCCAAAGGATTGCACGTGAACCTGTGTCCCGTGTCAGCCTTGCAATGGAGCAGGGAGCTGCTGCAGTGCAGGAAGGGCTTTGAAGTCCTGGCAGCCCCACCTCCATCCCATCCAAAAGCGTGAAGCCAGAAAGCTAGCAACAAAGCTCAGACAAGGGCTGCCAGAACATGCAGAGCCAGAAGCCCTAACGGTCTGCCCAAATGGGAAAGAGAACGTGAAATGGCTTCCTGACCTGTAGGGATGGAGAAATGCCTGGGGAGGAGCAGTGAGCATCCCACCTAGTGCAATGGGGTGGGATTTCCCTTCCAAGAGTCAGCAGCGGTAAAACTCCTGACTGGCCATTGCTGCCTGATGCACATGGTCCTCGTGGGCAGAGAAGCCAGTGAGGACACACCCTGGGTACGTGCTTGCACTGGGCACTATAGTCCAGCTGAAATACTCCCATTGAGGCCAGTTTTTATTGCCACAGGACAGGTCCTTAGCAAAAATGCCCAGCCCACGTCATGCAGCATCACTGGCGCTAGAAAAATTGTGGGTGTATGAACCAGGTACCACCTGCTGAGACCCTGCCCATAAAATAGCATCTTGTGCTAGAAATGGAGTGGATGGAGGTTCTGGGGATATTTTGCTTACGAATCTCCCTGCCTGCTTTTCCCACGCAGTTCTCTATGGGATACCCCTGTCCCTTCCTGGGGGGAAGAAGCAAAGCAGGTGAACAGGGGATGCTCAGCCCTTCTTTTGGCTTTAGCAATGTATGGATAAAAATGCAGTGGGGCTTTTGGACATTCTTGGTATCAAAACAATGTAGAAGTGTTTTGCATACCGCAGTCTTCGGGTTAGTTAGAACTGGCTGCTGAGACATTGTTTGTCTGCAAGTCAGCTCTAAGGTGGGATTTTCAACATCACTCAGCACTGGTTACGGTCTCTCCACAGTAACCAAAGGGAAAATTCAAGCTGTGCTGTGAACTTTTCAGAATCACAGCTAAGCAAGGAAGGAAAAGAGAGAAAAACACTAATTGTGTAAATGATCTTTCTATTATCTCATGCTGCTTAGCTCTCCCTCATCACCTCATCTACCCCATCAGTGTAGGACCTCTGTGCCTATCTAGGACAAATATTGCTAATACCTGGTCATTACATAGCACTGACTAGTGCTAGAATATTTTCTATAGAAGGTTTAGATTTGTATCCTTATCAAATAGCACAAATACAGAAAAAAAACTCCTACCCTTGCCAAGCAACAGAATAATTTCACACCTGGCAGCACCTTGCTCTGTCTACTGCACCACACTGTCCTTTAGCATCTCTGAATGCAGCTCCTGCTCCTGGAGTTTCCATCTGGCTTTCTTTGGAAACAAGTAAACTCAGGTTGCACGAAAAGCTTCTTCCTAGTTTTGAGTCAAAACCATTTTGTTATTTTTTATAAAGAAGCAGATTTCTTCTTGATATCCTTCCCACTTTCCCATCACCTCTCTTTGTATATCCAAGTTTATATAAAGCATTTCAGCAGAAGTTAGGCTTTAAGTATGTAAACAGTCCCACTGAACTAACGTGATTAAATGTCATCTTGTGGTTGATTTGTAGCTCATTGCAGTACTTAGCATCGTTAGAAAATATGTCACTTGATAAATATGTAGGAAGTGGCACATAAATAATGGTGTAAAGTCTACTCACTCATACCCATCTGGCCCAAAGCAAGAGGGAGGGTTTGAGGGAAACCCTCCACACAGAGCTTCTGCCTCCCCCCAGGGGAAGGACAGTGGCACCCAGCGATGGATGTGTCACACCAGAAGCACAGTCATGTTTAGACATCGCAGCAAGTACACAGGACCTTGGAGAAAGTCATTAGTCATAATGAAAGGCCCAGACATCACCATTTCTCTCTGCCAGCCGCACACTGAGTGTTCACACCGCTGTCTCCTCTAGCTGACATCTCCTGCAGCGCAGCAGGCTCCTGAGGCTGGGCTATGTATGGGTGTACAGGTGGGAAGGGAGGAGAAAAAAAAAAAAAGGATAATTTTCCCTGCAGTTTCCTTCTCCATTTTTTTTTCCAACACACCAGAGCCACTGTTTTAGAAATAATGGTTTTCTGCAGGAGCAGACGGATGTTTACTGTCAGTAAAATGTTAAAATATCTTTGGGCTTACTAGAGTAGCTAGCAGTCCCCAAACCCAGGCAGCCTGCTCCCACAAACACTCTCCTTCCCTCAGCCGATATAAATGATCTTTTTTCTACTTCTCCTGCGGTATTTGAAGTTGTGTGAGACACAGCCACCAGGAGACAGCTCCAGCGTCTTCATTGTAGGACTATTTCAGCCTTTTTATTAAGCAACGTGCATCAAATCCTTAGCTGCAAGCTGATCAGGGGCAGTTCAGTATATTCGATGTATTTATGGTATCTGTCCATAAAACACACCATCCCACACCAGCATGCTCCTGACAAACACTGTGTGATAGGGGTTCCTGACAGCCAACCCTGAGGTGGCTGCAAAATCCAGACTGCTTTCTGCAATCACACTTGGCATAGACCCGCAGTGAACTGTGCCCTGGGGAAGGCGTAAGGGATGCTCCTCACACCCCAGGGATGCTGGATCCAGCCTCAGCATCCTGCAGCATCCTCCAGCGGGGACCCATGCTGTTTTGCAGGCTGCTGTAAGAGAACAAGCACCCGGTGAGAAACCACTGGTCGTGCCCAAGTGTGATTCAGAAGGAGCAGCCCTGCTAGGCATGCGGCAGGCAGACAGCAGCTTCCCTTTGAGCTGCTCAACCTAAACGTCAGAACCGTGTGGCACAGCCCGGGGCCATGCCCTGCTGCCATGCGAATGCCTGTTGGCACGGGGGTGTGTTATGAGCGTGCCGGTGTTCGGCTCTAGAACAAAACGTGAGAGGCGAGCACAGGTGAATCACCCTGCCTTCCCTTCCCGCGGTGGAGTGTCAGCCAGCCACAGAGCTCACCCTCTGCCCACCCCAGAGCTCACCCTCTGCCCACCCCAGAGCTCACCCTCTGCCCGCTGCACTCAGACCTGCTCAGCTCCTTTCCCTCTTCCAATGAGACAACACAACATTCAGGACAGACCCGAGCAATGGACTCACAGTCTGAAATAACACGGGTGCAGAAAGAATGGCAGGTGACACAGCAGCTCTGTAGCTGATACACCCGTTAGTCCTTTTGCTGGCATGGATGGACTGAGTGCCTGCAAAGGCTCAGACCTGCTGAGTCCTGAGACACGGAAGAACTGCTCACATCGCTCTGTTTGCTCTGCACAGAGGGACAGGAGCATCTCTAAGCAGCAGAGGTGCTCCAGCAGTGCTGGATGGAGGGTTAGCGACCGCTAATTCCCACTGGCCACTCCGCCAGCCCTCCCCCAGTTATGCCAAGGGCTCTTCCAGCCTCTGAACACAACTGGAGTTTAACACAACCACCACCGCAGGGTGCCAGGTCCTGTCCCTGGCACCTTTTCTGAGACGTAGGTGGTTTCAAACAAACAGCAGAAAACTCTCGCAATGAAGCAAAGCCCTGTCAGGGCTTGTCCTTTTGCGTAAAAGCTCTAGATGAGGTTCATAATATTACTGAAGCACGTTTTATTTTCTGGGATGGTGCAAACCAGACCCTCTGTGGAGGTGCTGTACACCCTGGAGCCCCGAGCTAACTGCTTGCAAATCTCTCCTGCAGGTCACAGAAGAGAGGGGCTCTCACTTTCTGAAGCAACGGGCAGTAACTTCTGGTAAGTTTGCTGGTCCTTTCCCCCATCTCCAACATCGTTGTTTACCAAGGGTTTGCAATCACTGCTGGCAAACACCTCCCCATCTGCCCTATGCTTCACCACCTGAGCCAAACAAGCCGGGGCAGAGAGAGGTGAACCTGGGCGACAAGGCGCGGGGAGATAACTGGGGCCATAGAGAAAGCACGAGCATTTCTAACCCCAGGGCTGTGCAAGCTCACTCCTTCCAGTGCACGCACAGACCTCCCCAGCAGCTCTCTGAGGTCGGTACAATGCCTGGAACATGCCAAAGCAGGGATTTGGGAGCCCGTGCACACTTGTTCAAAGCCGGGCTGGATGAGGCTTTGGGCAACCTGGGCTAGTGGGAGGGGTCCCTGCCCATGGCAGGGGGTGGCACTCGGTGATCTCTAAGGTCCCTTCCAACCCAAACCATCCTGTGGTTCTATGATTCTGTGACTTGCATAGCAGCAAATATCCTTACACACTTTTTTCCCTCCAGTTACAGATACACTTTCCAGTGCAGAAAAGCCCAGAGCACACCTGACAGGTAATGCTTGTTCAATCCTGTGGGTATAACAGCAGATGTAATGGTGCAATAATCTTGGCTTTTATGGGTCTGGTAGGATAGGATATTGGAGGAAACATGGGGAAAATAATAATCAGCTTTGCCTTGTTGACCATGACAGACTTGGTGCAGCCTGTGTTTGGAGAAAAGAGCCCAGGAAAGAGGTAGCTGAGGAAACATGGGGAAAATAATAATCAGCTTTGCCTTGTTGACCATGACAGACTTGGTGCAGCCTGTGGAGAAAAGAGCCCAGGAAGGAGGTAGCTGACAGAAACTTTTCTTCTTGCCACTTCTCCAAACTTCATTTCCTTGAATGAGCAGTTCTTGTAACTGAACTTAAATAGGTGCCTGATATCTTAGTGATCTGCTGAATCCCTTGGAAAAGGCAGCTGAAAGAGCCCAAGTGAGCCCTCAGTATTTCAGGGCTGATTTCTTTCCCAGCATAGTTTACTTCCCTAATCCACAAGCTCCTTCCTAATGCACATCCTCAGTCCCATCCCCTTTTGCATGCAGGTTGCTAGAGCTCCATAACTGACCTGCTCTTGTTCAAAATCACATCTTAGCTCACATGCAAGTTTGCAAGAGCAAAAGGATCGTGTTCTGCTAGTGCAAGCCTCTCTGTCCCCCAAGTCCCCCTGGCAGAGATACCCAGCCGCTCCCAGTGCAGCTGACTCAGAAGAGCAGCCGAAGCACAGCTCTGCCCATGGGAACTTCCCTGGGGTGCACAAAAGTTCAGTTGCTGCAGGGAAGCACCCAGCAGTTTTCTTCAAATTTCCTCAGGCCTCCCATTTGTAAAAATTCCTGCACCGTCATTCCTGAGCACTCTCCCTGGGACGGTGCCCATCCTCTTCCACCTGCTGATTCAGCCCAGCCACTGTTGGCCATAGCAAGGAGCATGAAAAGCAAAAAAGCTAAGGGGACTTTATTGCTCCTTTTCTATAGGAAAAGGCTACACCCAGGCTGCTGTGCTACGTAGCCATCAGGGAACCCAATTTCCATGAACTTATATTTGATCTTTTTTTAGCCCAAGCATATTTTTGGTGCTGTGCCCTGTGGCAAGGAGTTCCCAAGCTTAACAGTGCATCACAGCCAGAAAATATTTCCTGTTATTTTAAACTCACTGCATAATAATTTCTCAAGTGCCACCCTGGTCTTCCCTTCTCAGAAACCATGACTTGCGCATTGAAAGTGAAAAAGGAATAATTACTCTTCAGATCTTTGTTATGTTCCCCCACCTCAGGTACCTTTTTCAAAGTGAAGGTGGTAGACTACAAACTCTCACTTGCAGGAAATCCCTTCCTGATTCCTACTCTCTATGTCTTTTTCTAGTTTTAGGCACATATACTCTGAAGGTGAGAGCAAAGGAAAGGAATGAGAACTAGCCACAGTACTTTCATGGGAATGCACCTCTGAATTAGCAGCAGCAGAATGACTCAATGTTTTGGTCCCTCTTCCCTAATGATTAATTTTCCACCTGCTCTTGGCCTTTGTAACACATACTAAGCATTCTGAACTTATCCAAATTGGTATCAAGATCTCCTCTCCCGCAGTAGCTGTAGCTAGTGAAGAATGGGACAATCCACGTGAATACCTAGCTAGGGATTTCCTCCGTCCCCATTCTTGCCTGTGTGCTCACGTGTATTTGGTGCTGACTGTGCCGTGCCATGCCACCATCCCCTCTCTGACTTGTTTGTTTGCACTTTGGGTCAGGATGCAAACCAATGCCTGTTCCTTCTTGTCACCAGCCTGTGGCTCAGGTGGATGTTGGAGAAACCCCATCAAGTACCTGGCTCACACTTGTCATGCTGCAATCGTATCTGAGCACGCCACTAGAGCTGGGGAGAACATAACTTTCTGGTTCCACTTGATTGTTGGAATTAATGACTTTTTAAGGGCAGTTGTTAAACTCCCAGGGCACGATCTTGAGCAGCAGAGACCCTGCAGCCACGGGACTTTGCAGTGCATGCTGTACAAGGGCTTTACTACAAGAGTAGACTCAGACTCTAATCTCTTGCTGAGACCAGGACTCTGGCCTCAGAGAGCAGAATTCAGTATCAGCCTCTCACACCAGTAAGAGCTAAGAATTGTAGAAACCCCACAAGTTCACCAATATGCCACAAAATGTACCCAAAAAGCTGCCAAGCAGCAGGGATTCTCCAGCAAGCGACCTAAACCAAAAGGTATTTTGGGAAAGGAGAAGTAACTTCACGTGTAAGGGATACCAAAAATTTATAGTGAAAGGGAAAGCTGAAGGAGCTGTAGCAATGATCCCTTATTAAAAGCAGATTTTATTTAATTCAAGAATTAGCATAATATATATGTTTGCAGGAATTATAGTTCCATATGTTTATGAAATCATTAAATGACAAGGACAATGTACAACTGCTGCTAGAAAAGGAGCTATACTGTATTCAAAGGCACTCGAACAGGCATTTTTCCTCTTGACCAGTATTGAAAGCGTGGGAAAAATTAATTAACTTGCAAATAGAGAGCATCAATAGAGTGAGCTTTAACCTAAAAGGGAGGTTATAGCTGTAAAACTTGGAGTTGCCTAATTCTAGAAGTTAGGAAATCACGTACTTCATTTGAGATGCCTGTTAGTCATAAAAAACATTGAAGAATTGAGTGTCATTGACATTTTAAATGTGTCATTGTACACAGAAAATAATATTTCACATGCAGCTTCTCTTCAGTTTTGCCCCTAAATTCCCAAAATGCAATAGAGCCCAGGACATTTTCTGGAAATATTCTGATCTTTTCTGGTCCTTCCCATCTCAAACAAGATTTAATCTGCTGCCAACTGATCTCTGGGAGGTATTATTCCAAGCTCTTGTTGTAAACCTTAGTGTGACCCAAATGCTACTTCAGGTTTATACCAAGACTCAGACCAGTCCCCAGCCACCCAAGAGGTAGATGAGGATGAAGGCAGACCGAGTACTTTCACTTTCTTTTATTCCTCTCTCTCTCTGTCTCAGGCAAAGCTCCATTGGCTCTAAGCCTCATAGCCTTTATAATACTTCAATGATTTAGTTTGGCTTGCTATCATAATCCCTGTCTGTCATTCTCCCCCACAGAAATACTCTTCTCGTGTACTTTGCCTCCTGGGGAAAGATCAGAAGGATCTGACCATTCAGCAGCCCTGACAGGCAGGCTGGGGGAAAAAAAAAATCATTATTTTGTTGTGCTACTCAGAGAATATGCAAGAAATTGCACTCCTAACACCTTCTTGTCTCCTTAGGGATTATTTATTGCTAGAAAAGAGAAACAAATAGATGCCACTGGGAGCTGAGCACATTAGTTTTTCTGAATCTCACTTCACCTGGGATAAACCTGATGGTTACTGCCAAGAGAGATTCAAAGCTTTCCTTTACCCACATTCAGTTTGCCTCCCTGCCCATGTACACACACCTCTTCCCCAAATACTGAATCAAAATCAACTGTAAACGTTAAGTCGAGCTCTTGGAAAAGGTCTTGTTTCCTGGAAATCTGTTGTCTCAATCTTTCTGAGCCTTTAACATTATCTTTCCAGGTTCGTTTTAATACCTGGCAGAACCTTAATGGTTTTTATCCTCTTCCTTTTCACTGCCTCAGCTGCTGTCTTACCACAACAATTTTATGGGGCAGTCAGGAAAGAGCAGAGAAAACTCTTTTTCTTCCTAACAGAAAAATGAATAAGAACTAGGACTCGTTTTCCTGGCTGTCCTGTGAGAGGTATTAAAATGGTGGAGGAGAGGAGAACGGAATAGGGCAGCAGTTCCCTGATGGTTCCCCTGCAGCCTGGGGAGCATCCTTGGCTTGGCTCAGACTAACACTGGGATCTGGATTAGAGCTCTGCTGGTAATCAGCTAACTACAAGACTGGGAAAAATTCTGGAGGAAAGCTGAGGCTAACACCAAGCTTAGTGTTTCGTTACAGCAAAGCATTTTGAAAAAAAAATTGAGATAATAATGGTTTTGAATATAAAGTGTTGCTTTGAAGTTGGGCTTCTTGAAGCACAGTGGAGTCTTCTGAGTTTTGGTAAAATCAAAGGACACTGGTCAGCCAAAGGCAGTTCTACAGCAAAAGATTTAATTGCGAACACTGTGTGTACATTGCGTACACTGTGTGTACAACTGCCCCAGCGCTGGTTTTGCTTAAGGACGATGTTTTTACTCTGTAAATAGGTAAGACAGCACCCCGGACCTGCAGGGCAAAGCCATCTGTAGTGTTCCACAGTGCTGTGAGACTCAGCCTTCAGGAAGGACAGTCTCATCATTCAGGAACTGGCCCACAACCAATTGTCCAGTCCCTTTGGGCAGCCTGTGCTGGCCAAGGTCTGCCAAAGCATCCTTGGCTTTCATTCCCGATTGCTCAGATCTGGACACCCTATGGACCCTCCAAAAATATCACTGGGCAGTCAGCCTGCAGCCAATTCACCTCAGTTTTCAGGCTCTAAAATAAGAACAATTCTGTCCTAGCATTTTGATCACCCTGTTTCAATTGCTTGCCCTCTGGAGTAGAGATCTCATGCTACATCCAGCAGCATATTGCCAGCTGCAGCAAACTAACCCACCACTTCTCCTTCTCTCTTCCTCCCACAGTGAAGAAACAAGACTTCACCAACACCGTGGGAAACCACCTGCCCATCCTGCAGTGGGAAGACAAGCGAGGCTTGGCCTTCACCAAGAACAACCTGAGTTACTCCAGCAACGCACTGGTGATACCTGTGTCTGGGGACTACTATGTCTACGCTCAGGTCACTTTCCGAGGGCCCATTGAAGGTCACAGTAAAACCAGTTCTGTCACTGAGATCATCACCAAAGTCACTGACAGTTACCCCGAGCCCACCAAGCTGCTGACGGGCACCAAGACCCTCAGTGAAGAGGGAAACAGCTGGTTCCAGCCCATTTATCTGGGCGCTGTGGTCTCCTTAGAAGCAGGAGACAAGCTGATGGTCAACGTTAGTAACATCAAGCTGGTGGATTACACCAAGGAGCACAAAACTTTCTTTGGAGCCTTTTTACTGTAGGGCCCCGGCAGCAGCTGGTGGGAGCTTCTGGTGTGACCTCACTGGACCTTGGGTTTGTGGGTGCGTGTCGGGGTGCCATCTCTGTGCTCTTATCCTTCTTCTGTACTGTCACTGCAGCTTCCCACGGCCTTAAATTGCTGAAGCCACAGGCTGAATTGAACCAACCAACCAAACAAACCACCCAGAAAAATGAAAGTCAGATTAGAGGGAAAAAAAAATAATTCTGAAAGTAAACACTGAGAGATCTTCAAAACTTTGTAGGCTAGGGAGGAACAGTTTGTACCTGTGGGTAGGAATATTGATCTTGAATACTGCAGCTAGGCTACATCACTAATTCCACCTCCAATGTACAGTTTCCTCAACTCAAAATTAAGTGTTTTGAACTTTCTCCAGCACTTCCAGTATAGTTTTGCATGACCCTTCTTCAGATTCTTGGTTCTAAAAGGTAATTACTTTTCATAATTTCTTTACGAATAGATTTGCTCAGTACTTTGCACTAACATAAAGCTCAGGTTAATTATTAACTGCTTAATTAATCCCTTCCAGTTTCCCTGTAGATTAAAATTGTATCTATGTTTTGCAGGAGCTAGTTGAAATTTTTTTTTCCCAAGAAATTGTTTACAGTTCTTTAAGTTAATATACAACCTCAAAACTTTATGCAAAATTTCTAGGGAACGCACACAAACACTTTCTGTTTCAGCATGAAAGTGGAAACTCCCTGCCAGGTCCCAACATTAGGAAAACAGAAAAGACAAGGCAGAGAGAGACACGCAGAGAATTTTCCACATTTTTAAAATCAACCACTGAAATTTTGAGAGAAAACCTCTGCAATATTTTGCTTTCCATTATGTTTAATGCAAATCAAGTGCAACAACAACAAAAAAAAAAAATCACTGTCTTGGTGCTCCCCCTTGCAACCACTGCCAATGCTGCAGCAGTCCCCTAACCACGAGGGACTTCCCACCCTTTCCCTGGGTGAAGGCTGGCAACCAGTAGTCCCTACCCAAGGTCAAAGACCCAAAGACACGATCGTGGTATGCCATGGCCAGGTGCAGAGCTCAGGGAGGTGTAGCTTCCCACCTTGCACTTATTTATTTTCAGAGACCTTACTGTGTCTCAGGGAAATTCCCCAGCTTTCCTCTCCTCCCACGATAAAAACATCCCTGACAATGACACAAGTCATGTTCTCATAGATTCAGACTTTACATTCTTATCTGCCAGGAGGTCTCACACTTGAGCACATGGTCCACGATACGACACTGCCCATCTAGGAGACCTTGACAACGTCCCTGCATCAAAACCTCATCTTTGGCTTCTCATCCTTTCTTTGACTTGTCCTCTAGATCCCTTTCTCCCACAGGCACCTTCCCGCCTTCTTGGCCCTGTCCGTTAGGTATAGGGACACCTCTTTGTCCAAATCTAATTTTCTACATGCAACTTCTCTCTTACAGTCACCCCAGTGCACAGAGAAAGCTGACATCTGAAAATAGGTTATGACGGCAGAAAGTCAAGGTAACGATCCTGCCAGTGCAAACACTCTTGGCCAAAACATCTTATGTCTTTATTAGCTAGATTTACTTCCATCTTTAAGTCCTTACTCCAGTTCAGCCTTTTCTTTTAAGCTGAAACTGGCTGAGATGGGAGCAGTTATTCTCCGTGTATCCGTTCAGTACCCAGCACGCACAACCTGGCCTCATTCCTTCTCAGCAAGGGTGTCTGATCATTCATCTCCCTGGAGGGGCTGCTCCTACTGCTCAGAACCACCCACCACCATGGTGGAATCTGGTGAAATCTCCCTCTTTTGGCATTTCAAGACAAGGTTATTCTCTGGGAAATCCCAAGACTTTCCATATCTCAGGCTTTCTAAAGTGTTCTCTCTCAACACCCCACGTTGAGTCCTTCTCATCCCTTAGTTGTGTGTCCAGAGTAGCATCTGAACTCATAAAAACATGAGATTTACTGCTTTTGCAGACCATGAGGTAAGGCACTTTAGGTGACTGGCACACAAAAGAGCATGCTAAATCTCATAAAGGGAAGACTTAAAAATGACCTGTCCGGGACAGGTGATTCTCAGCAACTAGGTGGGAAAGCTTCTGTGAAGTGTTGCATAGGACAAATTTGGTTTATCCTCAGAGAAGATTGGAGTGGAAATTCTAGCTGTTCTGAGACAATTACAGAAATTCAGAAAGCTCCTTATTTCTACAGATGAGTTGATGTAGCATCTTCTGAGGCCATAACGCAATCCTGATAGGCTTGTACAGCAGATTTCTATGAAAACTGTATCTTAACACCTGGTGTGCTGAATGATGGTAAATATGAAGTGTGGAGGAGAGGAGCGGTGAATACACTATTTGGCATACAGTAAAAAAGCCTTCTATGGGATGTATACACATATACATATATATTTGTGTATATTCCTTAGAAGTTCTAGGAAGCCCGTTGTCAATGAGCCTTTTCTACCACAAGGCACAGAGTTTGTGTCCACTGTACGCTAAGGATGGATTTCACCAGCAAAAAATGCCTGCTGCAGCTCCATTACTGGTGTGACTCTCTCGATCCATTATCTATGGCACAAAAATATTTATTTTAGTCCAGTTAGGGAAGCTTTTGCACCCTGTTACCCACACCAGCTTTTAGCACAGTAGCACATTTTTGTATGACGTAGAGTAATAAATCTGCCATTACTTGTTTTAAAGTGGTGCAGGAATATTAACCCACACATCTCCCCTAGTGGAAATTCTCTCTTTCTCCCCTTTTTTCCCCTCTCAATGCTAATAATGTTTCTATAACAGTGACCAGCAAGTATAATAAGTATGCAGGGGCTGGTTCTGACCCTATTGTATATCTGAAGTTTATCCACAGAAGTCAATGGCATGAAGTCAGAGTAAAGCCACTTAAGCAAGACAGAGGTCAAGCTTAAAGGGAAATATCTCAAACAGACTGAACCTAAGCTGTGGATTCCCAGATTTTTCCAAAGCTAAATAGGGACAGAAGTGTTCTCGGAAATTTGTGTTTAATGAATTAGAAAACTTTCTTTAACGTAAATCATTTCTGGAGATGTGAAAATGCATATCCATCAGCATTTTCAGTCGAATGACAAGATGATGAAATCTGGTCCTGTGAACAAGTGACCTTTTAGTCTGTGGTCAAACTGAAATTATGTTTTCTTTTGGGTGGATATGAAACCAAAATAGTTATAAGAAAAAATCCAAGCTAGAGAAAAAGGCTGAAATAGGCAGCTCATGGTAAATGAGTTAAAAATAGATGATTTCAGGTTTTGACCCTTACATTTCTTAGGAAAAAAAAAAAATAATCACTTTTCAGAACAAGACCATTGAAATAAGAAGTAACAGATTTTTTTTTACTATGAAGTCTGATCAAAATATTTTGGTTCTTAGGGACTCTCTTCTTCCCTAATCTCTTTGATCCCAAAAAAACTAACACTAAGTATAACCCAAATTTACAAAAAGGTTCACTTACCTACCGCTTCCTTTCCTCTTAGAAACTAAGTATTGGCAAACAAGCATTAACTTTCTTCCCATATACCTACAGAAGTAAATTTAAATCAAACTATAAGGGTCACAGCTCCAATCTTACCGACATATATTTGTGCTGTACTTAGTCCTGAGCATGTGGCGAAGGGGTATGACTGTAAAAGCAAGCTCAGTTTTCCTCTTCGGTGTATGGGAGGAGTAAAATCTACATTGCTCAAATTAAAAGTGGATAAAACGTTTTATCTGTATTTACTCTCAACTACATTGTTGTAGGAGCAACCCTCCAAACCAAGGAGCGCTGACATGGACCATCTCCAGCACATGTATGTTGACAGGATTGGGGTCTAGAGGTGTAAAACTGAAGATCACGTTCCATAGTAAAACATAATTGAAATGATGCAAAGGATGCTGCTGAGATGATTTTGGACATAACAGTTCAATGATTATTACGATGAGCAGACCCCTGGTGCACAGGGATGCTACCAGGCTGTACTGAGCTGCAGCACAGACCAGGTGGAATGGATTAAGGCATTCACTTGTGATTTTCAAGAGATATTTCAGAATTTTAGAGGAATCTCATTTTTCACCTCTTTCTGGTATAACTTGACCACACTGTGCTTTGTTTTATTAATCTCCTGGATGGCCCATCATTTCGGATGAGAAATGAGGAGAAAATTCATTCTTTAGAAGAATCAGAAAATTTCAATATTTTTTGCCCAGATCTGGGTATTAGACACCAGTATAGCATTTTGCTACTGTAAGGAATTTTATGTAAGAGATTTTATATTGTATTGTGCTTCAGTACTGATGTGCGTCTTTACCAGTAGAACTGACTTAGCTGCTTGTTTCCATATTTTATGATAATAAAAATGTAAGCTAATTAACGTGACCACTTCTGATCCTGGTCCCCTTCCAAAACCACTAACCAACCAGCACACTCAGGAGTGATCAGCCAGATAATGCTGATGTCTAAGAAACCTGTTATATTGTGTGTTAACATGTGAATGATCATTATTTTACAGACAGTTGGAGGTCCCTCACCAGAGTGAACTCAGACTTTCCCGCTGGGGCTTGTAGAGACTTGTGTTTCAAAAGGCAAAAATAGAAAGGTTGAGCAGATTTTATTTTCCAGTCCCTTTGCAGCATGGGGAACAGCTGGTTCCCTCTTTTTGTTATTGCTTAGTCTATTTTGAAAAAGGAAGCTGTACGGAAAAGCAGTGTTTATCAGAAAGCGCAGCATAGCAGTACCCCCAGCCCGCTGGGTCGGGGACCGATGCTCTCCACCAAGCACCCAAGGGAGAGGGAACCACAGTGTCACCCCCTGCCCAAAAGCCAGGTCTGTGCTGTCTACAACTGTGCATAAAAGCTTCTTGGCAGCTTGGGAATTACATGGTTCCAATTTCTTGGGTCCTGGCTGCCGGGCACAGCCCAGGTAGGAAATGTTGGCCAAATGAGGGTCGAAGTCTCGTTTGGAAGCAGCAGAGCTCTGGACACCCTCAGCCCTGT